ACTCAGTATCAGTGATCTTAGCCCTCTAGTCAGAAGACACGGGGTGACAGATTGGATCAAACCAACAAAAAGGATCCATATATCACCTACAGGAGATACACCTCATCCAAAAGAGGTACCTAGACTAAAAGTGAAAGGATGTAAAAGGATATTGCATTCAGCTGGAGCCTAAAAATAGGAGAAGCTATCAGAAGCAAAACATTCCAAAACCTATGGGACACAATGAAAGCGGTTCCAAGAGTGAAGTTCACAGATGTAAATACACACATAAAAAGAATAGAACATTCCCAGATAAACAACCTAATGATACATTTTTTGTCCTAGAAAGATAAGAACAATCCATATTTGAAACTAATAGGAAAAAAATTATATAAAGATCTGAGCAGAAATTAGTGTATTGAGATAAACAATACAAAGGACCAATGCATCAAAGAGTTGTGTTCTTTGAAAGGATGGGAAGGATATCTGGGAATTAGTGGAGAGAGAAAAGAGACAGGAAGGAAAAGTAAAAAGGATCAAGAAGTGATGTGTATATGTACCAATTCCCCCAGGATTATTGTATTTTCTATGTATTACAAACATATACTTTAAAAAAAGAAAATTTTCTAAAACAAACTTTTGGAGTTCAGAGTTATGGGCCAGTCCTAGAAACAGGTATTGTTTGGAAGTGAGCAGGTTGGGCCAACCCAGCCTGCTGAATCAGTAACTTTCTGCACAACTCTGTTTTCCACTCCAGGATTTAAGCAACTTCTGTTTAGTCTGGAGCTCTTAAATTACTCTTGTGTGTAAAAACTTCCACGGTACTTGTACACATGTAAGAATATATTTTACAATTTGTTCTATGGAAGTTTAATTTACATACAATGAAAATAATTTATGCCATTCCATAACTTGGCATATGTGTAGTTGGCCACAAATATATGTAAATACATATGTGTGTGTGTGTAATTACTACCAAATTGTGATACAGTACAATATAAAATAGGGAAAATGACATTGACAGAATAATACTGTTGACTAGACTACAAAATTTTTTTCGATTTCAGCACTTCTGGCAGGCATTCAAATAGATAATGGTTCTGTGGACTTTCTTCACTGGACAGACATGTAACCACCATATTCTGCATACAGAGTTATCCCATCCACACAGATTCCCTGTTGGTTTATAGTAATACCTGGCACTTCTGTAACCCCAGAAAAGACTGGTCTGTTCTCTACTCATTTTACTGACTTCTGTTGAATAGGCATGTGTTCATTGAAAGTAAACATGAAGCTTGTCTTCATTGTCATGTCCACAGCACAGGAAGGCATGGAATTTGGGTGCTTTGTTCTCTCTGGTAATTTATAGAGGATTGACTTAGTATGCCCTGGAATTCAAAAATCTTAGATGAGATTTATTAGATGTTTTAAAAAATCTAATAAATACAGATTTTGAATTTCCCTTTAGAGATTATGTGTGTAAATGCATATATATGATCAAGTCTTCCTTTTAAAAATGTTTATACAGTTACATGTTTTTACTTGTTACAGTTACTTGTCCATTATAAACAAAGAGGTAGTGAGAATACTTGTGGTGCAGGTGTTCTAACTTTGGTCCTTTCCTTTTATTATTTATTCTTAATGTAACATCAGAAGTAATCTTTTTTAAATGAAAATTTACCCACCATTACTTTTTTGGGGGGCCTAGGTACTGGGAATTGAACTCATGACCTCAGGCTTGCCAGGTAGGCACTATGCAGCTGAGCTATATCCCCCTGCCCCCACCGCCCCATTACTTTATGTAAGTTCGATGTACGTTTTTTTCACTGGGGTATCCTGGCACATGATAGGCATTCAGTGTTTGTCAGATAATGAATGTGTATTTAGTACCATGTTAAATGATACTGAATTGTGAGAAAGTGCATGCCTAAGATAGCCTGACCCTTAATTTGAGTAGTTTTGTAGATTCAATATGGAAGATGAAACGTTAGGAAGTCAGTTTTAATTGTTGGAGTCCGCACCAAGTGTCTGAGGCCCACTGAGGAGCTCTTGTGCTCTCTGCAAATTCCTGTTTCTTTGGGCTTACATTTTGTTTCAGTAGGAAAAAGTTTACTGTAACAAAAACTGAGTTTTAAATATTGGGCCTTTTGTTTTAGAAAGAACTAACGGAAGTATAAATAAAATGATTCTAGAAATAAAGGTTTTACTTGACTCACTAGATTGAATAATTGTTACATATAATCTTAAGTGCCTATTTTGTGTCAGGCATAGAAACCATTGTTGCTTAGAAGTTTCATCTGTAAGAATTAGCTTTTATCAGATACGTAAAGCCCAGTGTGATGACTGTTTATTTGCCTGCTCATCATTGAGTAAGTATTTATTGACCACCTAGGTGTAGATGCTAATGCAGAGGTAGTTGTTTTTGGTTTTTGTAGTACTGGGGATTAAACTCAGGGTCTTCTCACTGAGCTGCATCCCTTTTTGAAAATTTTAGGGCAAGCTTTTGCTAAGTTATCCAAGCTGGTCTCAAATATGCAATTCTCCTTACTCACCCTCACAGAGTGCCTACATTACAGGCATGCACCACTACACTGGCATTACAGGCATGTACCCAGTTTAAGAGGAAGTAGCATTTAGACCAGAAATATACTACATGTGGTTCATTGTTGGAAAGAGGACATTTTTCCTGCCATAAGAGAAAGGAATGGTAAAGGCATGGTGCCAGGTGTGATGATACACACCTGTTATCCCAGGAGTCTGGGAGGCTGAGGCAGGAAGATCGCAAGTTCAATCTCAGACAATGTAGTGAGACCCTGTCTCAAACTTTAAAATAAAAAAGTCCTGGGAGTGAAGCCCTGTGTGGTAAAGGCCGTAAATTCAATCCCACGTAAATTCATTCCACCACATAGTAAAGAAGAGCAAGAAAGATAGGAATTGATAGATGGGTGCATGTGCAGTTCCAAGTTCCTGGTAGACTGAAGAGAGAATTCCCATCTGTCTTTTCTCTGTGAGAAAGATGTGGACAGTAACTGGGTGAAGTATGAGATTGCTGTATGGAAGAGCCTTTTAGGCAAACATTGTTGAATTTCCACACAGTTTCAGTTGGTCAGCTGAGGTTTGTCACCAAGAACTTAAGATGAAGTTTATTCTGTATTTCCCCAGCAGCTCAACAACTATGACAAAAAAGTGGTTGGGTTCAATATAAGTTGCTTTTACTGAAACCAACTAAAAAAGAGAATGGGAGATAGGATTTGGGGGTCTTTGCAAGGGCCAGTTATAGTGATGCAATACATACTTCTGAAGAATGGTGTGAAGTAAAAGGTTAATTAATGGCCTGGAAATCCTTGGACAAATGAACTAGTAGGGTAGGTGTTAAAGTTGAAGAGCAAAGTGTTTAAAATTTTCTCTAGGACTGCTGTCAGTATACTTTTTCTTTAAAGAGCCATAGAGTAACTATTTTAGACTTTGAGGACCAAGGGACAAAATTGAAGTTATTATAAAAGTAGCTATACAGCAAGAAAGAAAACAAGTTTCCACAAATTTTTGTATTTATAAAATTCATAATGTAGTTGACTGTTGTTTTTGGTAATACAGATGTACTATGAAGTTTGCAGATAACATTTTACTTGCAGTTCAGAATGAGTGCTTCTTGTCCTCAGAGTCCATTGCAGATGTTGATCTCTTAATGGTAGTCTCTAAGGAGAATGTACCTATTTCCACTTTGAAAATGTCTTCATGCTGACAGGTGCTCACAGATACTCATATCAATCCATCAATACTTTTAACTGAACATGTTCAAAGCTTGCAGTCATTTCTGAATATCTTCTTTATATTAGGCTTTAAACTGTTGTTGATCTGTAGATAAATCAAATACAGTGGATGGTGAAGTGGAAACACCTCAGTTGTCAATTTGAGTGGATTTTGAAGTATGTAAATTTTCTTTACTCTTTCACTGAGGTCCTCAAAACGCTGTGGTAACTGTATTTAGAAATAAGAAAATCCATCCTCTGCAGATTTTCTTGAAAAGGAAGCTCTACCATTAGCATTCACTTTCCACTGCCTGGGGGAGGTACAAGGCAAGTTAGCATTACTATGATGCAGTTGTGTGAGTTGATTCTGCAGTCCCTTGTAATCGGTTATAGATTTTACAAGCTTCTTAGTAGGATATTATTTCTTTTTCTTTTTTTTTTTTTTTTTGTATCAGGAATCGAACTGAGGACATGGTGCTTGCCAGGCAGGCACTGTGCCACTGAGCTATATCCCCAGCCTCTAGGATATTGTTTTTTAAATTATTTTTTATATTACTAATTTATTAAGGATAAATGATTCAACTCTCATATATAAGGCAGCATGACTATAATAAAAAGAGAGGTTTCTTATTCACTTAATGTTACATAAACACAGCAAGTCTAGACTTGATCTTATGGTCTGAACACAAGTATTTTACCCTTTCCATGCTGTTTGTGTTTACAGTGCATAGAAGTCCTGTAACCAAACTAGTACAGCACACAACTGGACTGTAACATAACATAGTATGCAGAAGCATTGGATTTTATGATTTTCTTTATGTAAATACAGATTTAAAAACTTCCTTAGTTTTTGGGTGCTTGCCAAGATGTAGCAACCAGCACAGAAGAAAACCCATCCATATAACAGAGTCCACAAAAAAAATACGTACATATGTCAGCAGTTTGCTGTACTAATGAAGTCTCAGACCTACTGGGACCTAATGGCCACCACTTTGAGCACTTATAATTGTAAAGGCCAAAGGTAATTTGTATTATTCCCACAATATCTCACTAAATTTAGTATTAAATATTTATACAAGTTTTTCTTTTCCTGATGTATACATTTTTTGGCAGACTCTAGTGTCTAAGAATCTTATATTCCTAGTTTTATTTCTGGAATCTAGCAGAGCTATTAAGAAAATGTAAACAATATGTAAAGTATATTAAACATTTATTTAATACATTAAAAGTATATTCCTTTAAAATAGCAGTTTCCTATTCCTTTTATTACAGGTGAAGAGTGACTACATGTTAGAGATTGCTGATCAAGTGGACCAGGAAATTGCTCTGAAGTTGGGTTGTCTTGAGATAAGGTGGGTAGGAACAGTACATAGGCATCTTTATTCATTAATGGTTTTCATTATTTTTCAAAAATTTCCAGGTACTTTCTTTTTCCTTGTAAGATTATTAGTAAAATCTTGAATGAAGTGTGAGAAAATTCTGAATCATTATTCAGTAACCCTTTCCTCAATTTTTATCATTTAACAACAAAAAATATTCCTTAAATATAAACATAAACTTTTATCTTCCTTCATTTTAGACGATCATACTGGGAGATGCGGGGCAATGCACTAGAAAAGAAGTCCAACTATGAAGTATTAGAGTAAGTATTATACCTTCAGATACTCAGAACTAAGTCATTCTTTTGGTTTTGGTTTTGGTTTTGTCCTTTTGAGATAGGGTTTCATTATGCAGTTCAGGCTGGCCTTGAACTCACTTTGTAGCCTAGGCCTGGTCTTGAACTGGCCTTGAACTCCCATTGATTACAGGGAGTACACTGCCATGCCTGGCCTAGAACTAAGTCATTCTTTAATTTATCTTGATTTACAGTGAAATATTAACTCTGAAACACTATCGTTTCTTAAACTTTTGTGTCAGGGGAATGAAAAGTTTGAAGAAAAAATTTAGTTTTATAATCTGGTTAAATTTGTTGATAAATATCTTAAGGCTAACAATATGTATGATTTTTTGACAAATATAACAAACATTTTGTATAGCTTTATTGTAGTACAATGATGCTTCATTTCTAATTTACATTTAACTCTAGAATTACCTATAAATTCCTTATAAATTGTTACTCATGAGTATAGGTTTATTAAGGATTTTTTACACAAATACTGGTGTGGGTGTTAATTTTTGCTTAGATATCAGACAATTTAGAATACTTGAAATGTTTCAGACAGTGAAATTAATTTGTGTGATAGACTGTTACATTAAAGTGTTTTAAATATATGTAAACCAAGCTGGAATTTACATCTTAGGAGCCTAGGCATTCTGAAGGTCATATTTTTAAAAATCATTTCAGGAAATGATAATTGATATCTGTTATATCCTAGTAAAGTTAAGTTTTATTTTCACTTGGAGTAGATTAACACTTTGCTAATACTTTTTCTGGCTATTATCATGCTAAAATTCGTGTAGTATTTGAGAGATGGTGGTGGAATAAAGTTAAATGTTTATCCATAGCTACTCGGCTATAATAAAGATTTCAGATGGCTTTAGATTCTATTTGGACTTGCTAGATTGGTCCAGCTACTCACAATTGAAAGTGTAATGCCCCCCATTTTCAAACAGGGGATGATAGTTTTGCAGGGGAGATAGGCGTTTAAAAATAAAAGTAGAAATAAATATCTTTGGAAAGCTGTTGCAAAGCAAGTAGAATCATTTGAAGTAATGCCTAGAAGTAGGTACCACCACCATTAAGATTCTCTGATATTGCCCAGTGCCCAAATTGTGTTTCTAACACCATTATCTAATAAGAGAAATTAGAGCTCCTTGGAAAAATGCGTGATTCTAAGAAACATAGGATGAACCTGGAGCATCTTATAGTGCCTGAAAGAAAAAAACAAAACAAAACAAAAGTCACAGTATGACAGGAGTGTGTCAGATGGACTCATGAACTGACTCAAAGGGGTCCCAGAAATGAAAGAAGGAATGATTAGAGATATAGATGAAATACAGCATTAGATTATGAACCAAAGTTTAAAATAATATGAGTCCATATTAAGATAAATGAATGAATAAGTAATGTTAAGTGACATCTCTACAGAAGAATTCCAAATAATTTATGCAATTCCCCACCTCCTCAGAATAGGTGGTAGGGTGTAAAACCTCCCCCTGAGATATGGTCTGTATACCTAGTGGTTTGTTTCTAAAGATTATACTGTAGTGTTGAAGATACCATTGTGGTGGGATAACCTGGCAGACTGCCTCAGCCAGTGATGAAGTTTTGCATCAGTAATGACAAGTGATGTTTATAGTGTACAGCTATGATATGATGTGTTAACAGTCAGACCTCACCATTATCCAATAATGAGAAAAATACCAGGCAAATCCTAGTTGAGGAATATTTTACAAAATGCCTAGCCCTCACTCCTCAAAACTGTCAGAGTCATCAAGAAACAAGGAAAGTCTGAGAAACTGAAACAGCCAAGGGAGCCAAAAGATACTTGGTGATTAACTGCAAGGCAGTGTCCTACATGGGGTCATAGAACAGGAAACATAAATGAGGGCAAGTGATGAGATCTGAATAGCACAGAATTAACTAGTAATATATCAAATGTGACAAATATACATAATGATGCAGGATATTAACAGTGGAAGCACTTGGGTATGGAGCATTTGAGGTACTTTCTTTGCAACAGTTTTTAAACTATTTCAAAATAAAAAGGTTATCTCAATTAAAAATGTGGGGTAGGACAATTGAAAAGACAAAAAGCTAGTAAGTAGTTAAGAGATGATATTCTGAATAAGTCTAGTAGATAAGATGGTAAATAGTATTCAGTGATTTAAGATTATTAAACATGTTCTAAAACTTGCAGATTCATTTCTATTTTTACTTTTCTAAATGTATGATTTTTTTTTTTTTTTAATTACCTTTTCATGGCATTCTGGTCAGAGTGCATGGTCTGAGAAGCACCTCTTTGTCGAACGTGACTTGGTGGACAAGGACCCCCTCCGTCCCACACTCTATATTTTTTATGGAAAAGTTTTAAAAATACAAAAGAGTAGAGAAAAATGTACAGTGAATGTCCACAAGTCTACCACCCTGATTCTACAGTTATTAGCATATTACTATATTTGCTTTATATGCTCAGTTTTTATAAATGTTTTGTGGGGTTTTAAAAATTCATATTCTTATGAAGCTTAGCTGTCCATACTGGTTATTTTGTCACCCAACATACCAATTAAGGAGAGTTTTGTTGGGCCTGGGGATTTAGCTCAGCGGCAAAGCGCCTGCCTGGCAAGCGGAAGGTCGTGAGTTCGGTTCCCGGTACCGGAGAAAAACCAAAAACAAACAAACAAACAAAAAAAAAGAGTTTTGTTGAACTATCCATCCACTGGATATTTCCACTCATGGCTTTGCCAATCCACCCCTATAGATGCATTAATTTTTGCTATTTTGAGCCTTTTTAACTTAATCCTAATCAGTGTTTACATCTTCTTAGTAAACTGAATAATGTTTTATTTTTTGCCTTAAAGTATGTTTTGCCTTATTTAGATTAGCATTGGCCTGACGTGTATTTTCCATTTTTCACTTTCAATTTTTCTAAGTCCTTAGACTTTTTATATGTATCTCATAAATATCATAGAGCTGGATTCCTTAAATCCAGTTTGCCAAGCCTTTTTTATTACAAATAGGTTTAATATATTTCTCTCTGTTAGGATGAATGATGTATTTGTACTTGGTTATGTTATCTTCATTTCTGGTATTTTAGAAATAAATTTCTGTGTGTGTGTATGCACATGTATACGTTGAGTTCATGTCTTGGTTTTCTTATTCCAAATTTCTTTCTGTAATGAATTGGAAGTTTATACACTGTCTCTAGACTTTTGTTAGTTACTCTTACATTTAAGTTTCTATCATAACATAGCCAAATTAGATTTTTAAATTCTCTAACTTCTTAAACAGTATAAGGACTGTGGAACACCTGCACTCTTTTCTATCTTTCATGTACCTTTTCTTAAACCTAAATATAAGACATTGTTATCACTCAATACAGATACTGTTTTTTGGCTCTCCTTATATGTTTTTTTATTTCTTAAACATCCTTTTCTTTTACCTCAGACTACCTTCTGGTACACTTTTACTTCAAATATATTGTCCAGATTGTTGTATTTTCTCCACGTTGTAAAGATAACATTCTATTATGACTGTGGAAAAGTCTGTCAACATTTCTTGTTGCTTTCTTTAAGATCATATTTATAGTCTTGTCTAGTTTTCCTCTTCTGTTGGTCATAGATTTCTTTTTATAAATCCTATCGGAACAAGATATGCTTCTTAAACTGGGCGTGGTGGCACATGCCTGTAATCCCAGCACTCGGGACCTGAGGCAGGAAGATTGTTGGGAGTTTGAGGCAAACCTGGGCTCCAAAGTGAGTTCAAGGCCAGCCTGAACTGCATAGTGAGATTCGGTCTCAAAAAGACAAAAAAAAAGATATGTTTCTTACTTCTGTGAATCGTATTTTCATTTGGAAAAGTATCATGGTCTCTTTAATTAGTGACTAATTAAAGTCTCTGACTAGATATATTTTTGACCTTTGTGTGTATTAACATTTCGCATATTTTCTCTCTCCCTTTCAGTGGCAGTATGCATGTTTTGTTTTGCTTACTTTTGTTGTGTATACACACACACACACACACACACACACACACGTACATGACTCAGTACATGTTTACATTCCATGTGGGGAGTTGATACGTGTACATAATACATCTTAATTCCTTTTTCCTTTCCCTTCCCTTCCCTTCCTCCCCTCTCTGCTCATTTCTCAATTCCCTTTCTTTTTTAAATACATATTTATAATACATAATGTTTACATTCCTTGTGTGGAGTTGGTAAATGGATATTAATACATCTGAACTCCTTTTTTCATCCTCTGTCCCTTCTCTCTTCCCCTTTCCCTCCACCTCTTGACCCCCTTCCTGACAGAGCTGTTTCAGTCTTTCTGCTATACTGTAATGTTGTCAATAAATTCAGGGCCAAAAAAAAATATTTATCTCCCTACTTGTTATCTTTTATTTTAGTCTTTATTTTTACTTCGTGTTTCTCATGTAAGAGAAACTATGTGATATTTAAGCTTGATTTATTTCTCTTGATCTTACAGCCTCAAGGTATATTTGTTTTTCTATGCATTTGTCTTCTGATTTCTAATTCTCTTTTAATTAATATCTTTATGTCATATCTCCTCCACTCAGGTTTTCATTTTACCACCTAATACTCTTTGCTGCTGAAAGTTCCCTTTCTCATGATGTAACCTGCTGCTTCATAGTAAACTCTTGTATGCTAATCTTTGTATGTCATTTATTTCTTCACATTTTTCATGCATAGCTGTTTTATTTTTTCTATTTGACAATAATTGTGTGTATGAGCGAAGTCTGAATCTGCTGTTAATCTGACCCTGAATTAAGCTCCATGAGGCCTTAGGTTGAGTGAGTTGGGCTCCTGGGGACTTCATTTCTGCTGCAGTGGTTGCTTCTGATGAGAGCCAGCAAGTACAGTGGTACCAAACCTGAGCCTCCCAGAGTCTCAGCTCAGTGTCTTAAGTGCCCAGGGTCATTGTCACCATCTTGAGGTGTCTCCAACCAGAGTCTCAGCACAG